AGAGCAGCCAGTAATAATAAAGTCAGGCCTGTGTGCGAATGAGACACGCATCGACGGACTGCGCGAGAGACAATCCGAGGCGATCGCTCTCTGTGATCTTCCCTCTATATATCTCTTTCTCTGTCAGACGCAATAATTCGGCCTTGTCTATGGCTGCTGTGCGGGTGAGTGTGGGTGAGATGCCAGCACTCGTAGCGTCTTATTTACTACAGTCCGCGCCTCCTGCCCGTGAGAAAACTCCCACGGTCACGAACCGACCGCCAGCGCTGCGCGTCCCTTTAAAAAAAATAAAAATTGGTCTCTACGTCCGAGTACGTCACGTCGTCCGCCCCCCTCCCCCCTTTCCCCTGGATCCTTTACCCCTTTTCTTCTTCCGGCAGCTGCTGGCTCTGACCCGGGCGGTAGGTCTCCGGTGTGTTTGCCCGGAGGATCACCCGGAGGTTCGCCCGGCGGAGGGTCTCCTCCTCATAGACGTGTTACAGAGGACAGGACGGTCCAACTAAGTCGCGGGAAAGCGCTTAAAATCGATTATCGCTGTCACGTACGACTGTGTGTGTGTGTCGTGCTCGGTGACTTTTACATCCTCTTTTAGTCGGACGGTCGGAGGAGGAAGGGAGGGGAAGGGTTGGGGTGGAGGGGTGACGGCATGACCACCGCCGCAGGTCAAGCCGTCAGGCAGCGCTGTAGTACGTAATCCACAGTCGTGGGTTGGCTGCTGCGTGGGGCTTCCGGCATCTGCACCGGGTGGCTGATTAAAACCCGCGTGACGTGAGTATGTGGAGTATATATACTGTACCGCACTTAGGCTTGCGGGCGGCTTTGCCTTGCCTACCATCGCTGACCACGGCGGCGCCTAACACGGCCCCCCGTGTGACTAAGGCAACCCGCCCGTACACCCTGCGTGTGGTATAGTATTGCCTAGAGAGACCCTATGAGTCTCTCTAAGTATTGCCAGGTGGCTGATAAACACCGCTTACTTCTGTAGTTATGCTGTACCGCACGCGCGAGTGCGGGCGGGTTGCCTATAGTACTCGCTCGGCCCGTAAGGCGGCGTGTACAGCCTGCCCACAGTCGTACTACAGCATAACTACAGAAGTGCGCGGGGTTACTCAGCCATCATGGTGTACAGTGTACAGTGATAGTGTAGGTGTAGGAGCGCTGCAGATTGGTTAGACCGCTCCGTCTGTCTGCGTGTATGTTTGAATGGTAGTTCAGGCAGGGGACAATTTTTTAGTTTTGCGAAAACAGAGCGACTTGGGCCGCCGGTCGGGCTGCTCGGTTGCGGTGCCGCTGGACTTTGTACTCCGCGGGCCCAAACAGCTATAGCGGCCAGCATCTCATCACCACACCAACTCCCCATCCCATAACACACCGACGAGGGCGCAGCGGTGGATCTTACTGTATGGTCTTCCCCCGCGCGCGCACCTCTCGCTTCTAAACTTGTTGGCGTCCTCTCCTCCTCAACCACCACCTCACCCCCGTCATACTGACCAACAGCATCATTCACATGAGTAACTCATTTTTTGCACTAACCGACTAACCGCATTTCTGCTTTCTCTTTGTATTTCCAGATGCACTTCTTAAAGAACGCAACACACCTGCGGACATGTTGTGCGAGGTGCCGGCGTTAGCGCTGCACTTAATATCGCCTCCTCATCCATTAACCCGCTCAGGGACTGCGGGAGCGCTTAACTCCATCCAACTAAAACAACAACAACAAAAATAAATCGGGTGAAAGAGAGAGAGAGACTGACTGCAACAACGACGACACCAACAATTGCATCCTCGAGACGCGAGAGCGGGGCGCTGCTGGACAAACTACTATGATGAAGCTAAAATCGCTGTTCCGTAGGGGCCACGGGCCTCCGAGCGGCGGCAATGCGGCTCGGCCGGGCAAGCGCGGCGCGGCCGCCGGGGTGCCGCCCGCCGCGGCGCCGGCGCCTCCGGGCCAGGAGGGGGCCCCCGCCCCCAACGGCGCCAACGGCGCCAACGGCGTCAGCACGCTGCCGCGGGCGCAGCTGGCGCAGCAGGAAGGGCTGGTGCGCTCGTTCGGCTCGGCCGAGATCCCCAAGGGGCAGCCGTCGTCGCTGCAGCCGCCGGGCGAGGCGGCCGCCGTGCTCAAGGGCGCGGCCAGCATCTCCAGCCTGGACAGCAAGCACCACAAGTTCCAGCTGCCGCAGCTGCCCAAGCAGCTGCGGGGCGGCAAGGGGCGCGCGCCGTCCGCCGACACCGCCCCGGCGGCGGCCGCGGCGGCAGCTGCGGCCTCCGCGGCCTCGACCAACGGCAACCCGGCGGAGGTGCCGGCGCCTCCCGTCAACAACAACAGCATCATCAACAATAACAACAACAACAACCACCACCACCAGCAGCGCAGCAGCGCCGACCTGGAGTCGATGCACAGCCTCCAGGGGACTCTCCAGGGCCTCCAGGGCGAGCTGGACAAGGTGACCCGCGACAAGCTGCTGCTGCAGCGCCGCGTCGAGGAGCTGTCCGGGAGCCAGGGCGAGCTGCAGTCCCTCCGCCAAGAAGTGGCTCGGTTACGGGTGAGTGCACCGCTACCACCGCTACCGCTACCGCCGCGGCTGACGCTACCGCTGCTACCCGCCGCCGCGGCCGCGGACCAGCGCGAGCGGGAGCCGAGGACCGAGGAGGAGGAGAAGGCGCATCTAACCTGTACGTGTACCTGGGGGGCTTCGCGTTCGGGGAGTTTCGCGGCTCCTGCTCGCGCCGGTGTTCCTCCCGACCTTGGGGGCGCGAGTAGGGTTGCCGGTTGCCGCGCGGCGCGCGCGCAAAGTCGATGCGCGCCTCTCCTCCGCGTAAGTCGTTGGCGTATTCAGTGCGGAGTTGTTGGTAAACGGACCGTAGAAGAGGGGGTCCCTATGTTAGTGGCTTCAGTCTGGTCGGAGGGGTTTCGCAGAGCGTCGGGGTGAGTTGCTAGAGCCACCGTTCACGGGTTGGGTCACTTGAAACGCTGGTTCAACGCCGAGAACGACCTGTTCACTGTTCAGCAAAGTGATGTTATGGAGCTGAAGTGAGGTTAGGTTCTGTGGGTGCAGTGCGCGGCACCGCCAATGCAAAGTGCACTTGAATGCACATCAGGCGCTGTACTTATTACACACTAGTATTTTCACAATCTTGGCTTCCAGTTATTTTGATTCATGTAGATTCAGTTCTTATTAATGTGTTTAGTCTCGATTGGTCCATTATTTCTGTGTGTCATTAAATTTGCAATTTTACTGTAAGCAATGGCAGCTAATTCTGACAGTGTTCTGTTCTTTTTCTCTGTTACCAGGAACAGCATAGTGCAGAAATGGATGTAAGCGTAGAAAATATGACGTCCCACAACTGTGGATTATCAGACATGGAGAAGGAGCAACTCCTCCTCAATGCGAGCAATTCTAGTAATCGTCAGAAGTCACCTATACCTTTGAACAATGGAGGGGTATGTTTTATAACATTATATTGATTATTTATTACATGAAGTTTCCTTATTTATTGTTTCTAACTGTCTGAATTTATGGGTTGGGTGTTGTGCAGATTAATGACCTGTGTGCAACAACAAGTACAAATGGTGTTCTACCCGATGTGTGCGACCCGATATGTGTCACTCCTGATCGAGACAGAGATTGGGACAAGCATTCCTGCAGCAGTTTGAGTGAAGTTTCAGTAGCATGCCTTCAAGATAGAATTATGCAGATGGAGGAAACCCATTACAGGTACATTTTTTAAATGTCAAATGTAATTCTGGCTAAAATTAAATGTTTGAATGCAACTCTCAGTTATGTGGCAAAATACCCTTTTGGACCTTCTGAAACATAAACTTCTTCAAAATTCATAAGTAATGACATTTGTATATTTTCAGCACCAATGAGGAACTGCAAGCTACACTCCAAGAACTGGCTGATCTACAAACTCAACTTACTGAGTTGCAGTCAGAAAATGAACGCCTCACTGAAGAGAAAGGTGTTCTGCTTGAGTCGCTATGTAGACAAACTGAAAAACTTGAAGATTCACGTACTAAAGTGGATACACTTCAAGAATTGTTGTTAAGAGAGGAAGATGGAAGTGGCCCTGGTGGTGGTGGAGACTCACTGCATGGCCCTGGAGAAAGGGAACAAAAACTTGTGGAACTTCTCAAGGTAAGAATTGCATTATTTATACTATTTCAGTCTTATTATTTGGAAATGTCACAATACCTTGTCTTAGTACTTTCTATATCATAAATTTACTCTTCTTATTCAACAGAGTGGTCAGGAGGAACGTGAGGCCCTTCTAGTCAAACAGGATGAGTTGACATCAGAATTGGTTGAACTAAGGGCAGCAGCCGACTCGCATGTTGCTGAAAATGCCAGGCTAACTGATAGAGTGAGGCTTCTTGAGTCAACTGTTGATGCCACTCATGCAGAAAGAAAGCACCTTGATCAAGAGTTGGCATTAGCAAAGGAGGAAAGTAGTTCTAGACACATAGAAATTTCAAGATTATCAACACTTCTAGAAAATGCCAGAGCAAAGGTTAGTGTAGAAATATGTATCTTCAGAGTAATAATTTGTTGGCTTACAAAGGAGTTTGGTTTTATTTACTTTTATGTGTATTATTGACCGCACTCCCCCATTGGTCCAATCAATCAATCAATTTTAAATTTTGAATCTCTTTATTTTGTCACAGATTGAAGAATTGGATCATGCGAGAGAACTTGGGGACAGATCAGAGGTAGAGTCATTATTAGACAATGTTCGGAAAGAAAAGGATATTCTGGAGGGACAAGTTGCTTCTCTTCAAGAACAATTATCAAGGTCACAGTGTGAAGTTTCAAAGCTAAGAGAGCAGTTAAGCTCTCTTCAAGAAGAATTCAAGGTATTTGTGTTCCTCACTCATTTCTAATGTTTTGATTATTTCACTTTCTTTACTAATCTGTCAAATTCTTTCAGGTCATGCGTAACAATTCCAAACAAATTCGTAAAGAGAAAGAAACTTTAGCAACTGAATTTGCTACTTTACAAGAATCGGCAAATGACATAAGAATGCAGTGTCAGTGCCATCTTGAAGATAAACGGCAACTTAAAGCTGCTCTTTCTGAAACTCAAAGGCATTGTGCTGACGTTGAGCAGAGATTAGCTCATTATGAGTCTGATCTCGCTGAGGAAAAGAGACTCCGTAGTGAAGAGGTGTGTAACAGTTTAGGTCATTTCACGCATTCTATTTATTATCACTGAAATACATCATCTAAATTTTCTTATTTTCTTTAAATCTCCTTAGAGTGCTGAATGGCAACAATTCCAATCCGATCTTTTAATGACTGTACGAGTAGCCAATGATTTCAAGACTGAAGCACAACATGAGTTAGAAAAATTAGTGTTGGAAAATAAATCACTTCGGGACAAAGTTCGATCGCTGGAGTCTCAACTGGAAAAACTGAAAGGTGAGTACCATGCATGTTTCATCTACAACTTTTCCTTTTTTATATGTAATAGAAAAGGTTACACATTTCCCTCCTATGGGTTGGAAGAGGGATAAAAATTCTTCAAATCCAGGGCACTTTCTTTTTGTTAACAAACTATATCTGATTGAAATAGGTCAAATCACTTGAAATTTTACATTTTCTTATACTTGGATATTCTACATTTTCTTTTAAAT